ATTGACTAGGCTGGCTGACAGGACTGATATATTTCTTGAATGAGCAGCATGCAGTTGCAACTGGTGATATAGAGGTCAGTCTTCTTTTCACTTTGTTTTTTTTTTTTTGTTTACAATTACAATTTGTTAGTGTACTTGTTAACTTAAATACTGTAAACCTCGATTTTGAAATTGTAAGTAATCTTGACTCACTAAAAAGCCAATTTCAATAGCAATTTCATGGATGTCTTTTGTAAATTATCTACTTGTCCATCCTCAGCTGAGAAACCTGATTTTTAACAAATTTCTTTCATAATGACTTTTAGAGCATGACTGTTAAGTGAGAAGGGAGTAGTATATCATAATCTGGGGTAAGTGCATGTTTGTAGTTGCATTCATAGCTCAGAAGAGCTCCTAAATTACTTACTATTTGGCATAGTAAATGGTATCTATTTTAGATGTAATTACTCCATACTGTGTTATATTGGCTAACATTTTCATTGCTTCACATTTTAGGAAATTTTCTGTCGGTTGCCCTTACCTCATTTTGAGGAAGAGTTCAAGATTGACAAGACGTGGAGAGATTTAATGGAGCATAAAGTGGAGCCACCTCCATATGTGCATATTAGGCGCAGTATCCAATGCATACCATCATTTTGATATTATTGCTTGGTGTTGAAATTGTGCTTGTAATGTGTTGAGAATTAAAATGAGTTAAATGACTGTTGCCAATTTGGTTAACAAAAATTTACTTTTATTATTATAATCTTTGCAAAATAGTTTTAAAATGGACTGGCCTTAATTGTAAATTAGATGTTTACCTAGTGAAGAGGAAACGAGATACTGCTGATGATGATGTTGGATGCACAAGCTGTGGTTCCATCTGTTCTGAGAATTGTGTGTGCAGGTATTTTCAAATTGTCCCTCATGTTCTTAATCCTTTAAAATTACTCACTGCTCTGTTAATTAGTTGGCCTTCTTTTGTGTGAATTTGTGTATCTGTTCTTTCTTCCTCTCATGACACTTTATCTATTCTTTATAATCATGGTATGTTACCTTCTAACCAAAAACTTTGTCATCATTTCATCTTTTCCAAGCAGAACATGACTTTGTTTAATTTTAGGTTTTTCTAATAAGCAGAAATATTTTATCTTTCATCTTCTTTTATTTATTGCAAGATCACATGACTGAGTCAATCCTTACTATTATAGAACCCTGTATGTTCTCCGTATGTTTTTTTATTTTAAGCAACTGTATTATAATCAAACATGCTTGCATCATCCATTAGGGTTCAATGCATCAGCTGCTCAAAGGCATGCCGATGCTCAGACTCTTGCAGCAACAGGCCTTTCCGCAAGGAGAAAAAAATCAAAATTGTAAAGGTGACAATCTTGTTTCTAGACTGCATCAATTAAATTTATGTTGAAGTTGTAATGATATGAAAGAAGACAAAATTTGGTCTTTATTCCATGTTACAAATTTAGAATTCCATAAAAAATATTTTGATGGAGGTTTTGATCTCTTAAGTTCTCTTGTATGATGAATGTTTATTGCCCTTCTCAGACTGAGCTATGTGGTTGGGGTGTAGAGGCAGCAGAACCTATTAACAAGGGAGAATTCATAGTTGAATACATTGGTGAAGGTAGTTTCATTTCCTCAGCTTGATATCTTTTGTATGTCAAAGCATACTTTGGTCTTTTCCCTTTGCTTTTTATCGTCAGTTGGTTAAATTTTATTGGGAAAATTGTCTGTATTTTAAATTGAATTGGGTCCCTCTTTTTCTTTGATCCTGAGAATAAAGATGCATTTTCTTATTTTTCTAACTGAATAGGTGATTGGTTTGACAGCCGGATGAACCAAATACTATCATAGTCTCTTCACTGTAAAAAATAATTGGATGTCTTATTAAAACAAGTATACCTTTTGATTGATCTCTTTTCACTTATTATGGTTGATAAATCATAAATGTATCAAAAAACAACCATGGAATTGAGTGTTTGGCAGAGCTTATTTTTGTATTGCTTATACACACTTTTTCTCTCCTAAAGTTTAAACACTTGTTGGAGGGAAAAGATTGCTTTTTAGCATTTAAAGTGCTTGTAAGCAAATTTTAAGAAAAGCTAAGCACTTTAAATGCCAAAAAGTAATCCATTCCCTTTAGCAAGTTTTTGAACTTTATAGAGAAAAAGGTGCTTGTAAGGGGCCTAGCTGCATCTTTTGCATTTTCTGATGTAACACATGGTAATGCGGAGACCACATGCACACAGAGAAAGGAATGAAACTCATATGTCATATAGTAATGCTCTTCGTGTATGATAATCCACTTCAAAATAACTTGTCCCAATTAAACATGTACTTTAATTTTTTCAGTTCATGCTTAATTAAGTTCTGAATTTTGTGGGCCTCTCTCTGTTCATCATTTTCATCTTTGTGGTTTTTGCCAGCAAATACTAATTAAACCACCATGTTCTTGGTTTCAGTTATTGATGATGCTCTCTGTACACAAAGGCTTTGGGACATGAAATACCTTGGTGTGAACAACTTTTACATGTGTGAAATTCGAAAAGATTTCACAATTGATGCTACTTTCAAGGGGAATTTATCTCGTTTTCTGAATCATAGTTGTGATCCAAACTGTGTTATGGAGAAGTGGTTGGTATTTTCTCAATTAGTTTTATAGCTTATATATATATATATTGATTTAGTTTATATATTTATACATGTTGGTGTTAAAGGTTTGTAAAAACTTATGACTACCCTTAAGATACTGTGCATTTGACTTTAACAGTAAAAATGCAGAATCTGAACATGATATTATTGATGAAATGTAACTCAGTTATGCATGCTTTTAAGTAGTCTTACAGTTTGGCAATCTATCTAGATGTAGAATTTGATAAGGGAGGTGATAATTGAGAGCTGAGGAGACTTGAAATTCAATATCTTGGATGAGAGCTAAAATCCACTAATCTTTTTGTTAGGTTTCATTTCTAAATACCTTTTCTGTTCTTTTTGAGATATTTTGTAGTCTTTGACAGTGATGTGATTGCGTTGCATCCTTGCATGTTCCTCACAAAATATTGACAATTTCATCAAACTTAAATTGTTAACCTTAAGGGCTGCTAGCTGCTTTTGTTCATTATTTCTTCTATTATCTCGTCTTCTCTGGTGTTCTTTTAGTGATGAGCATATTGCTGTCAGTTTTTTTATCAGAATTTCATATAAACTAGCTATATATAGAATGGGAACACGGGCTCAATAAAAATCTTGGGTCCCTTTTCCTTTATTTTGTGCATCCTGCAATCATCTGATCTGTATCTGCTAATGATGCAAGAATTGTACTGTCTTTGACATTGTGAGGTTTTAACCATTTCAATTTGCAATCCTGCAAGGCAAGTTGAGGGGGAGACTCGTGTGGGTGTGTTTGCTGCTCGATCAATAGATGTTGGAGAGCCTCTTACATATGATTACAGGTAAGCATGGATCTTCTTAGTATTGTCCTTATGTCCAGTTGCTGTCTTAATATTATTAAGCATGTTATATTTAACAGCTACTAAGCTTATTATATACACTCATGCATGTGGATTTGGATGTCACCCATGTGTACAATTAAAATTGTAGCCTTGTTAGTAGACTTGACAAACCGCAGATTGGCGCTCTTAAGCTATGTGATGACACATTCACTGCCATAGATATAAGAAAAATGCATCTATTTTCATATCATTCTTTAAGTTCCAAACTACTATTTTGTTTTTAAGCAGCCAGTAAGTTGCAATGAATATGATATTATTTGGTTTCTTGGTTCCGTAGATTTGTGCAATTTGGACCAGAGGTAAAGTGCCATTGTGGCGCTTCAAACTGTCAAGGCTATCTTGGCACCAAGAGAAAGATTGCTACACTGGATTTCTGCTGGGGTTCAAAACGTAGGAGATCTTCGACTGCTTGCTTAGCCATTATAGCGCTCTGATCTGTATTCTTTTTTTTAAGGTCTTCATTTCTGTTGTATATCAATCTTAACTTGGCATATGAACAACAAAAAAGAAGAAAAAGGAAAGGGGAAAAAAAAAAAAAAAACTATCATGCTTCAAAATTCACGAAACGAGAAACAAAGAAGAAAATGCAAATTTGCATAGGCATTGTAAAACTCATGTAACTGAGTTCCCCATGTTGGGTTGCTCAATTGTATTTTGATGACAATAAACTTTGAAGTGTTGCAAGGATTGATGGGGAAATTTTTCGAAATTTGGTACAAGCCTCCAAGGCTTTCCAAGTTCAGATGGCTTAAATTATAGTAGTGCAATTGATTGTATATGAGTCTTTCTTCCTCTTTTCTTTTCTTCT